TGTTTAACGGCAGGCAGCTGTTGGCAAATCCAAAGAGGCGCTGAGAATGGAGCTACTAAGGACTATCTCCCTCCCTCGGAAGGCAACGGAAAGGTTGAGAGGTTTTCTTTTGGAATATATGTATGAAGAAGAAAAACCCTACCGGTAAATTTTTTTCAGAATTCATCTCTTAAACGCATTTTGACGGTGTAAATTAGTCCTAAGGCCCGGCCGTATTCAGTATCTTTAGGAGGCTTCTTTTTTCAGGAAGGCTCTGTATGATTTACCTTATGATTAAGGAGGCAATTAATTCATAGAATAATAAAAATAGCAGTTTTTACGAGCTTTCGAGTGAATATCAATATAATAACTTCAGAAATAAACCATTCCAAGAGATAAACACGAGTTGACACATAAAAAAATCACAAATCATGTAATGAAAAATTCTGTGATTTTAACAAGTTCTAAGGTAAATAGGTACCCACCTTAAAATCTCAAAATTTGCAATGTTTTTATGTTTGTATTTAACGTTTTTGCTTGGGCAAATCATTGGCTTATACATCGCAAAGATCTATTTTCGAGGTTATATACTTGTTGAATTTTACTGGATGCTCGTAAACATTGTCTTTCTTACGATGCCATGTGTGAGGCTTCTCAATTACGATGTGAACAATGTAAGGTCTTTCCTAAGGAAACAGGCTGCATTAAAAACCGCTATGCATACAACTTTTACAACTGGTGTTACCAAATGCTTCAAGACCGAGGAAGGATTGGAGAGGAAGGACACAGAGAGTGCCAAAATACAATAAAACGAATGGATTAAAATGAATCAATGTTTTCTTCCTAAAAACAAAATAAGCAAAATTCTTTAATCACGTCATTATGTTGGTTATCGTCGAAACTTAGTTTTTCACAGTGTCGTTTTTACCTAATCTAATTAACCTGACCTAACCTGACCTAACCCAACCTAACCCAACCTAACCTAATCTAACCTAATCTAACCTAACCCAACCTAACCTAACCTAGTTTAACCCAACCTAACCCAACCTCACCCAACCTAACCCAACCTAACCCAACCTAACCTAACCTAACATACATATCGCACTTACTTGTTTTACTTATTGCACTTTTTCTCCTTTGCTTTTCCTTTCATTTACGCAATCACTTATTTCCTTTTGTATTGACCAAAGCAGGTGGCTACCCTCCCCTGGATCTGCCAGTGATAGCGAGGGAAGCAAATAGAAGCAAAAACTCGAGAACACCGTTATCGAGATAGGTGCTTTTTCCTCCTTTTCCCCCTTTTTTAGCGAACAGCAGAATGCTCTTCGGCGATTAACAGCGGCACTTTTTCGAAGCTTTTACAGAGCGGTTGTCAGCTGGAAACTCAGCCAATCGTTAAAACGGTGATTGCCACAATGGAAGCTGAGGGCCGTAATTTCTATGGCCGTCATAAATCCGAGACACCGTCCCTGCGAGCTGGACGTTGCCAGATTTAACGAGCTTTCGGTAAAAATTTTGAAATCTCCCTTGAAACGCAGGCAAACTTCTCTCCCCCGCAAGAGAGTCCACGCTGCAATGGTCCAGATCGATATTTTCTAGTTGGAGAAAACCTGTGGATGCACTCTCTGCTTTGCCACGTCGCGTAATGGTTATTGCTTTTCTCGCGACTTAGCAAATGGAAAAAGGGGGCAATGTTGCTTTTTCATGACCCTAAAATTTGAAATTTCTCTCAGTCAAAAGTTCTAAGAAATATCAGGCTTTGGAGGGAATTAAATGGGGTAGATAGGCCACTCGTAGAGAACGTGATGTTTCGGGAGGGGAAGGCTGAGCGTGCGTTAAGGAGCGAGGGGGGTCTAATGCGTTGCTTGAGGGAGAGGACCCATGGTCGCGTTACGTAACGTTTGACGTCAATTTTATGGAGCTTTTCTTCTCATTTTTCTGCATATTATTTTATTTGATTATTTTCGTATAGTATTTAGCCGGTCAAAAGCGTTGAAATAATTTCTTTTTTGAAATGTATATAGGCGAATCATTATAATCTCTTGCGAGGGTCTGTTTCCAAAGTTATGTCGTTGAATGCACCCCAAGATTTGTCAGAACTGTCCTTTTTAAATGGTCAGTGGCGTGGCGTGCTTTGCGATATATCGATTGATCGGCCTATGAAAAAGTATCGATAAACAGGGTGTTCGCAGCAGACACCTTAATAATTGATTATTTACCACAGGTTTAAACGGCATAACAATCGACATATCGCAATTCACGCCACGCCTCTGTGAATGGTATGTTAAGGATCTCCTCAAAACTCTCTGAAGCACAATGTATAGACCACGTGGGCGGGGCCTTCCTAAGGATAGGAGATGTGAAAGGAACGACAATGAATAAGACCCGAAGTGTTAGTTGAACTACATTTTGCAATGAGGAACCACTATTTCTGGCTCATATTAGAAACAACACATATGCCTTTGGTTTCCCTATGCAGAGAGGTGCTTTTATAGAGGAGCCAGAGATTTCTTATTGCGAAATGTAATCCAGTTGGTGAGCAACTAACTCCCCAAAGATAAACGTACCCAAAGAATCGTTCAGCCGCTGCCATCATTGGGGCTAAATTTTGATTGCTTCTTCTCTGAGCTAGAAAGTTATTAGAACTTACCTTCCGTGTTTTTGTGGTATTTTTCAGAGGGGTATTCAGTATAGTTATGAAATCTTATTTGTGCACCGATTAATTATAGGACTTTTTCCCCCATTTCTTATCCATATTAATAAAACATGTAATGATTGACGATTTAATGAAGTAGAATTAATTGAAGTAGAGATTATCAGATTCAAACGCCCATAATTATCATGCCCTTTTCTGTATTTAAACGGTACATTATTGTAATTGCGGAATTAAGCAGTATTCAGTTCCATTCCGAAGTTCCTGACGTGATGCCGTACTTACTATGTAACTTGGACCATTATTATACTAACATAAGATTATTTAATCCATTGCTTCTATATTTACACTGAAATAAAATTCTCGGCGTTTTTACCAAGGTCCGTTGGTACCTTTACCGTCTCACTTTTTTGCCAATTATTAGTAATTTTACCAAGACAGACTGGTAATCTTACCTAAAAACCGGTATTTTTACTGTTTTTTTTTCAGATAAGAATACCACTTTTATTGGTGATCAATTCCCGGTAACTTTGCCATTTTATCTCGGTAATTCTACCACAGTCGATAAAAAATATTGGCGTTTTTACCAAGGTCCAGTAAAATTACCGAGAAAGTTCAATAATTTTACCGAGATTTCTCGGTAAAATTACCAATTCCATAAATGGTAATTTTACCAAGAAAAAACTGGGATCAAATAGAACCCTGAATTCTTGGTAATTTTACCCTTTTCTTGGGAAATACACCGAGATTTTTTTTCAGTGTGTGCAACATTTGGCGTTGCAACGCAAAAGCGGAGCGGAGCCCAGGGGCCGCAGCCCCTCGGCCAGCCGTGACGAGCGCGCGAAGCGCGCTCAGAACGGCCAGTAATGATATAAAATTGAAACACGACAATATGAGTATGGTTCATAATCATCCCCATTGACGACGACTCGTTTCTCCAAGGTCCCTCGCCCGGGTTCATCCGCCACCGCCACCGGTTTTCATTTCGCAACAGTTATTGAACGTCCGATTTAATGGGTCGGATGATTATTTAGAGAATGCCTGCCGCCTGCCTTCTTCGCGGGAGCAGTGCAGCCGGGGTAGCGACTCGAGACAACCCCGGACGTTGACTGAGAGCCACCCTTTATCACCGTAATAAATGACGAGGAAAAAAGAACGGTGAAACAATTTCAGATTAATCAGGCCCGGAGCCTCGCCGCACAGCGGACCCGGGCGACAGGAGAGTCCGAACGAAATCTGGACGCTCTGAAAGGCCATATTTTCGAAAACGAAACAGAAAAGTTCAAGAGTGGCTTTGTTGGTTTTTCCCTGAAATTTTCGTTCAGGAACACCTCTAGAAATCGGATTCGCGACCAAGCTGGCTCTCTTCTCCTGCTGACGATTGACGATATTATGCTGGTTTTATTGATTTGACGAATCCTTAATTTTTTAGTGATTTTTAGATCATTAGATTTTTAATACTCATTTATGGTTTATTGTGCTCAATACTGGATGGCTTGACAAACTGGGCTATGCCCTTATCGTTAGAAGAATTATAAGAAGAAGAAGAAGAAGAAGAAGAAGAAGAAGAAGAAGAAGAAGAAGAAAAAGGAGAGGAAGAAGAAAAAGAAGAAGAAGAAGAAGAAGGAGAATAAGAAGAAGAAGAAGAAGGAGGAGGAGGAGAAGGAGGAGAAGGAGAAGGAGGAGAAGAAGAAGAAGAAGAAGAAGAAGAAGGAGGAGGAGGAGGAGAAGGAGGAGAAGGAGGAGAAGAAGAAGGAGGAGGAGGAGGAGGAGAAGGAGGAGGAGAAGGAGGAGAAGGAGGAGAAGAAGAAGAAGAAGAAGAAGAAGAAGAAGGAGAATAAGAAGAAGAAGAAGGAGAATAAGAAGAAGAAGAAGAAGAAGAAGAGGAGGAAGAAGAGGAAGAAGAAGAAGAGGGAGACGAAGGAGAATAAGAATAAGAAGAAGAGGAAGAAGAAGAAGACGAAGGAGAATCAGAAGAATAAGAAAACAAAATAAGCATCAAAATTCGAAATTTGAGCGAAAAATTTAAGGTCTGATATTCGCTCGTGCCACTGTGCGGCGGCCGCGAGAGGGCGGCGCGGAGGGGGAGTTTTGTTGTGGAAACATTTTTCCTGACTGGAACAGCAGGGTCGTTGCATTTGTGGGGCACCGGCGTATCGCTGCGATCGATGGCTCGAGTCGATCCTCGTGAGAGCTCGGGAAATGCATCGAGGTGCGATGTATCGAAGTCGGACGCGGTGCCGTAAGGGGCGTTGAAACCTATCGATTGGGGGGGCGTTCGAGGGTGCAACATTGACCAGGCTGCGGAGGCCTCGACAGGGCGCATGCCCGGCGTCTCCGGGCCGTCTTAATTCTCGGCGGACGCGAACCGGCTACAGTACTCGTCACTCTGGGGCGTTCGCCTTCATTTGTCACGGGATCGTGTTGCTCTTAGTGCGTGTCTTGTTCCTCCATTGGCGCTGGATATCCCTCTGCTCCGTAAGTTAACCCCTTTCGCTAGGCTAAGGATTTTCCCACGGCACCCTACTTTCGCGCCTCGCCCAGGCCCCCGTCCCTCATTTTCGGGCGCTGCCTCCGCTTTCTCGCACATCGTTTTGCTTCGCTTTTCAGTTTTTCCCCTGGCATAACCGCTTTTTCTCATGTCGTAGACCCTCAGAAGATGAATCTATGCTTTCAAAATTTTTACTTTCTCGCTCCCCTAGGGTAGAGAGGAAGTACTGTCATCCTCCGAGAAAAAAAAAAAAAAAGTTGAAATTTCATCATTTCTGGGCGTTTTAAGGTCCCAGGAGTCAAAATAACCATACTTGAAAAAATGTGTGTCCGTCCGTCCGATGTCCCCCAAATCTGTGTACAGCGATATCTCAAAATCTTTCTGTTCGATTTCATTCAAAATTGGCACAAAACACCATATCTATGGTCTCCTTATGCACGTCAAACGATTTTGGGGCACGCTAAAATTTGGGGGGGGGGCTAGGGTCAAATTGGGTTAAAGGTCCATTTTCAGCAAAATCACACGGAAAGCTCATTTTTTTTTTTCATTTATCTTTTCGTATACTTTTTTTTTTGTACAGTGTTTGCCTCGTGAGTTCGATTTTTTGTCTTTGATGAGTTGTGAGCAAAAATCTCTTCCTCAATTTTCCGAGTTTTCCTCAACATCATCATTATAATCGTCGAAGTAACTTTCCTCATTTCGATCGGTTGAAATCTTGGCCAAAAAATGGTTTAAACCTAAGGAGTTTTACTGGCCACTAAGGAAGGATTGGAATTAAAGTTTTAAAAAAAATAAACCAACTGAACTACCTTGAACCCTCTCATTTTTTACATAACCCTTGGATTCCTAGGTTCTTTATTTGTTTATTAAGCCCCTATTCTGATTGGAGACCATGTATTGAGAAGTTAAAAAGAAGTTCATTGAAGCTCTAAGTTGAAGCTTACATACGAGGAATCATTTTTTTTTTATTATAAATAATAAAAAACTACGGAACAAAATTTGTAAACAATACACGCAACTTTATCACACGATCTACCAACTAGAACTAACATCTCGCGAAGAGTCTACCTCTCTTCCCCTTGTTTGCTTTCATCCTCACTAAGCTTCATTTTCTTTCTCATTTTCTTACATCCATGAAGTGGTTTATTTGGCGTCTCTTTCAAAATACACGAGGCCCCTTGCCTACTTACAACTAACTGTAATACGATTCACGATAAGCACTGTTTTGGTGGAACCAAACTTCTATTTAGGGCGTAAATATGAAGCGATGCAAGCAAAGTTTGGAGGTTTATTTAGTAAAATTTCATGTTTGCCCCCTCTGAAGGTGTCGGGAGATTTTGAAATGGGGAAATTAGGGTTTCGCTCCGATTTTTTTTGGTCTGTCCTCGCAATTTCCCAATTTTTTAATCCCCCCCTTCGTAAAAATTAGGTTAGTGCATTCCTACTTCCATGTGAAAGAATCTTAGGTAATTTTCGTTTTCAACAAATACTTGATTTAGACCGTCTCTGCTACCTTTCTTCTAGTTGCTACACGATTCTTTTAAAATTCGGAGGGACTGCACCTAACTCAACACATGTGATGACATAGGTGCTACAGCCATGGAATCAGTTTGAAAAGAATAATTATGAACGTTTAAATCGAGCCTGGAAAAGCATACTTTAAGTCCCAGAATTGGATTTAATTATTTTGTCATGGCGATTGCCTAGTACATTAATTTTCGAAAACGTGTTAAAGTTGCCGGAATTCCTATAAAGCTTACAGCTAGTAAATTCTCTTCAAGCTTTGATTTGAAGTTTTAGTAAAACGGTCACATTTAAAATTATAAATCCGACATAAATTTTGATGCAATTCTGTTCGATCGCCCTGAGGGAACTTTAATAGTAGGGAAAAAAGGTCGACTATTAAAGATCGAGAATCAGTGATGAACTGCCGACAAGTTCTATCAATTGATGGATTTTACTGTTTGTAGTTATGATTAGTCTTTGAAAAAATATGGGAAAATATGTTTTTCGGCATTCATAAACTTCATAGACAAGTAGGCCGCTCTAGCTACACTCTTTTTCAGGAAATGATACTACTTTCTATTTTTTTAACGCGTTTTTCTATTAAAAGGGATTTCGCTAAAATCGTCACTCAGCAGTAAATCCGCATGCTTTTGTCCTCAAAACGCATATTTATAAGAAGGAACATTTCATCTCAAAGATAACGCTCTGATTGAGAAGCAGCTTCTAATGCATCCACATGATGAAACTAGAAAAACATACATCTCGATCGCCATGTTTATAAATGTTTTTTTTTTTTTTTTCGAGAGAATGATAGCCGAAATTAGTTACGCACTATATCGTGAATATTTTTAGTCAAAAAAAATCAAACATACTTATGAAGAACAACAATAATTGGTTGTCCGTCTGAAAAAGAAATCATGATTTACGCTTGTGACGTCGCAAACCGATATATGTGAGATGTTTTTCCAGTTTCAGCATCGATTTTCTTCTTCAAACAGAGATTATCGAAGTGTGTGATATGTAAACTCGTTATATATTTACCATATTTACTCTAATGAGCTGTCTTTTGCTCCATGCATTTAGAAAAGAAAAAAGGTGCACAAGTGATAGATATAAGCCCTTTGTGTCGGCGATGAAACAAGAACAAACTTTATGGATCGAGCATAATTATGTTCGAATCAAGAATGAATTTACAGATAAGAACATCAATCAAACACATAATATCAGTAACTTTTTTTATTATTATTTTTTTTTTAAAAAAAGGAGAAATGCCCGGTTCTTTAAAAAATCCCAGTTGATCTAAAAAAAGAGCCACTTTCCATGTGATTGGATTCCTTTCGTGGAAAATATTCTATGGAAGTTACTTTGCTTTAACTAGATATACTTCTCAGATCGGTGAAACCTAAAAGTAAAAACAGTTCATTTCGTTTCTCCTCAAAAGACTCCTAGTTTATGTTATCCCTCACAATTTAAGCCGATCTGAATAATAATGCTAGCTAAATGATTTGTATGCGTTTACTGTTTCTCTTTCCGAAGAAAATTAATCAAAAGACGCTTTTGTGACATTGCGGTAATGCCAAAAATAGTGAACTTGTTTTTTTGAAACTGTACTTGGTAAACCGTAGTTGGGTCATTGCAAAATAGGTGGAAAGTTTCTCAAAGTTTAGTGAGCGTTGTTACAAACCTATCAGAAAATAATTAGGTTGGACAGAGCACAAACACGGATGCTGCAAGGGCTTTTAGATGAAAGTTTGGCGGGGGCTTTGAATTAGTTCTGTTGGTTCAGATCTCATATCCATCATGTTGATGCAATTTGTTCAACTGCTACGACTAATCGGGCTTATTGAAAGCCGCAAACTATGTGTACTTTTGACCGCAAACCTTTAACAATGTGTGTGATCGTGTACGGGGTTTGAAACTTTAATCTCCATGAATTACATATAAACTTTAATGTATTTTTAGGGGCGATACATTAGTTGGTCTTGAGGGTAACGAAACCTGTAATATCCTCATATCTTTTCGAAGCTTTGCTTCTTTCTTGCATTTAATTTTCTTAATATGGGGCGGATTTGCTCAGTTTCATGCACTCTGTAGTTCAATTTGATTTTTTCTCAAGTTAGCATGAAGAAACCAACTAATATTAGAAGGGTATCGTGGATAGAGAAAGTGATGTAAAATTTTTGAAAAATTGGAATTCAAGCAGTCGGTTGCAGAAAACCCCCTTTCGCTGTAATCTTTTTGACGCAATTGAATGCCAGCGCTCATTTTCCTACTTAATTTCAAATATGAAGTTCATATGTGCAACAGTCCTCCATTTTCCAACTTTAAGCACGTGATTGTCGAAAGCACAAAAATGTCACTTTCCTCGTTCATCCGTAATATCCCTCGGTTAGTGCTAACCCAAGAGTGATTTTCCTCCTAATGCAACCCTTAAATAATTGGAAAAAGATTTACCACAAAAACAATGTAGCCAGGATGCTCTTTACAACGAAAATGTTGTGAATTTTTTCTCTGTGAGATTTAATGTTAAATTCTGCTAAATTTTTTCACTCATCTTCACTTTGATATTAAGGTTGGTCACTTTTGCTGAACCCCGTTTGGTTTTTTCATGTCTATTTCTAGCACCCTGTGAGAAGAATAACCGCCGATTTGATAAATTGTAGAATAAAGCGGTTAACTACACGAAAACTGGTTTCGGGAAAACTTAGGTGCGAAAAAAATCTCGATCCAAGTAATAGCTTAAATGGTCCAAAGTTGGAAAATCATTTTATTTTACCATGTCTACAGTTAAACATAGTCGGATAAAAAATTTTCCGTACTATATGGGGCGATCAAGCCGAGAAGCACATAATAGTAGCTGACCATTCTCCTAAAATATCTGTTGAAGACCCTTAATTAAAGTTAAAAGTATCCGAACTTAACGAAACTTAATCGTTCGATACAACTAAGCAAATGAGCCATTTAGCTATTCTTCGCGTTTGGAGACATTCGAGTTTAATTTGGGGTTCTACAAGTACCATAGATTGTTTGGGAGTAGTTAGCTAATTTATATCTATACGCATGATCCGATCGCTCCTCTGACGTAAGGGCGTATCTCAATTTCCACATGAGGCCTATTCTTCGTATGACTCCATGCAGTGGCGTGGAGTGAATTGCGATTTATCGATTTTTATGCCATGTAAACCTATGGTAAAGAATCGATTATTATAAGATGTTCGCTGCGAACACCCTGTCTATCGATCCTTTTCCATAGGTTTAAATGGCATAACGATCCGCCGCTGACTCCATGCCTTCCGGGGGTCGTGTGGATACAAAGATACACCCATACGTCGGAAGAGCGACTAATAGTTCTATTTTTAGGAAAAATTCAGAAGTGAAATTCTTCTTTTTTTTCCTAAATTATTTGAGAATAATTTGTTTGATATCTGATGTTTGTCAACCCTCGGTGTAGAATTACCTTAATATAAAACGCAAAATCACA